AGCCCCGAGAGCTGAACACCCCGCACAGCCCGGCCGGGAACACCGACCCGGGAACACCGGCCCGGGACACCCTGCACAGCCCGGGACATTCCACACAGCCCGGCCGGGAACAGCGACCCGGGAACAGCGGCCCGGGAACAGAGACCCGACCCGGGACATTCCGCACAGCCCGGGAACACCCTGCACAGCCCGGGAACAGCGACCCGGGAACAGCGGCCCGGGACACCCTGCACAGCCCGGGACATTCCGCACAGCCCGGCCGGGAACAGCGACCCGGGAACACCGGCCCGGGACACCCTGCACAGCCCGGCCGGGAACAGCGACCCGGGAGCGCCGACCCGGGAACAGAGACCCGGGAGCACCGGCCCGACCCGGGACACGGCACACCGCCCGGCCGGGAACAGCGACCCGGGAACACCGACCCGGCCCGGGAGCACCGGCCCGACCCGGGACATCCGCACAGCCCGGGAACAGCGGCTCGGGAACAGCGGCTCGGGACACCCTGCACAGCCCGGCCGGGAACAGAGACCCGACCCGGGACATCCGCACAGCCCGGCCGGGAACAGAGACCCGGGAGCACCGGCCCGACCCGGGACATCCGCACAGCCCGAGAGCTGAACCCCCCGCACAGCCCGGCCGGGAACAGCGACCCGGGAACAGCGGCTCGGACCGGGACATTCCGCTCTGCCCGGGAACACCCTGCACAGCCCGGCCGGGAACAGCGGCTCGGGAGCACCGGCCCGACCCGGGACACGGCACACCGCCCGGGACACCCTGCACAGCCCGGGACATTCCGCACAGCCCGGGACACCGACCCGACCCGGGACATTCCGCACTGCCCCGGGACCCCGCACAGCCCGGCCGGGAACAGCGGCCCGGGAACAGCGGCCCGGCCCGGGACATCCGCACGGCCCGAGAGCTGAACACCCCGCACTGCCCGGGACATTCCGCACAGCCCGGCCGGGAACACCGACCCGGGAACACCGGCCCGGCCCGGGACATCCGCACGGCCCCGGGACACCGACCCGGGACATTCCGCACAGCCCCGGGAACACCCGCACAGCCCGGCCGGGAACAGCGATTCGGACCGGGACATTCCACACAGCCCGCCCGGGAACACCGACCCGGGAACACCCGACCGACCCGGGACACCCCGCACCGCCCCTGGGACACCCCACCCAACCCGGTACACCCCGCACAACCCGGGAACACCCCGCACCGCCCCGGACACCCCACACCGACGCGGCCCCGCAGCAGCAGCACCGAGCGGCACACGGCAATGGCGCTGCTCCTTTATTGGTACAAAACGGCGGCGAGGGGCGGTGACAGCAGGGCCGGGTCCCGGGGCAGCACGGGATGGGGGGCACGGGCAGACCCCTGCCCCCAAAACCTCCTGCTGCCACCGCTGCCCTTTAGAGAAAGAACCTGAGCGACAAGGACAGCACCGGGGTCACCTCATCACCCCCGGTCACCAGTGCCACCGGGGATGGGACAGCACCTGCAGAGCAGGCAGATGCCAAAACCCCAAACCTGGGACCGGGGGCAGGGATGGAGTGTGGAGTGGCAGGGACACGCTGGGTCCATTCGGTCCAGTCCCTGATGTCTGAGAATCCCACCGGAGCTGAGGGCTGCCCATAATAAATACAAATAAATACAGACTCCAGAAATGGAGCTGAGCCTGGGTGGGGGACAGGACCCGATCCCCTCCTCCCCTGGTGGAGGATGAGCACCCCTCAGACACCGCTCCCTCTGGAGGCACGGCTGGCCCAGACCCGAGCAGGGCTCTGGCAGCAAGGAATGTCCCTAAATGTCCCCTCCCTCTCTCCTCCGGCCTGGGAAGGATTGGTCCTTTGGGCAGAGGGAGACAGCAGCAAGGGGCTCGTTGTGCAGGTCCTGAGAGCCAGGGGCTGGCAGCTCGGGGGTCTCTCCTGGGGCCAGCCCTGCAGCCAATGTGGCCAGCAGGCCTGGGGCCAGCCAGCTCAGCAGTCCATGCTGTCGCTCTCACACCAGGCTGAGGGGCCATCGGTGCCGAAGTATCTGTCTCCAAAGTTACCTGGCAGAGGAAGGGACAGAGTGAGGGCACAGCAGCACCAGCTCCACCAGAGTCCCTTCAGCGTGGCCAGCTGCAAGGCTGGGCTGCTGGCCCTGGCCAGGAGGTGTGACATGCCCTTGTCCCCTCACCGATGCCCGGGATGATGTGGAACTCCTCGTTGACTCGCTTGTCCACAGCGGTGGTGATGATGCGGACRCGGGGAAAGGCGTAGGCCACAGAATGCACCCCCATCTCTGCCATCAGCAGCGAAAGCAGGAAGATCCTGTCCTCCTGCACGTCGTGGTCCTGTGGMACACGGAGCTGTGAGATCCCAGCTGTGCCCAGTGTCCCATGTCCCCGTCCCCACAGCCATCCCCTCACCAGCAGCACGCGCACTGCCATCATGGCTGCGGCCCCCGTGGACACCGTGCTGTCCATCAGGATGACATAGTCCTCGCTGATCTCCTTGGGCAGGCGCAGGTAATGGAGCTGGGGACAGAACAAGGGCGGTTGGTGACGTGCCAGCAGTGCCTGGCTGTGGCCAGGGGCAGCAGGACTCACCTCGGGCTCCCCCGTGTCCAGGTTGGTCTGGATCAGGATCTTGCCCAGGCGGATGTCCTTGCACACAGCGGTCAGAGCCTGCTCCATGGTCTCTCCTGCTCGCAGGATGGACACGCCGGTGATCTGGGGAAGGGCAGGGAGCTGTGCTGGCTGCTCCCAGTGTGTGCCAGCCCCTGGAGCTCTACACTCACAGGAGCTGTGCTGGCTGCTCCTGTGCCAGCCCCAGGAGCTCTACACTCACAGGAGCTGTGCTGGCTGCTCCCTGTGCCAGCCCC